CACAATGCAACATCTCCCCTCGTACTTCCTCCCGATAGTTACCTCTTCCCTGTGTCCCTCCCTCTATGCGCTCCTCCCCCCTGAGCTATCTCCCTGTGCATAAGCTTAACAGCATTCACTTTTAATGAGTGGAAAGTGCTATAACTGAGTAAATAATGTCATAGAAATGAACATTTCTGAGTGGTCTGGATGAATTCAGCCAACTGAATAGCAGCCCTACCTGTGTAGAAAATGCCCTTAGGTGAGATTTCGATTATCCAGGAATTTCAACTATTCAAAAACTATTGGATAATAAGAAAATAAGAGCAGGAAAAGTTTTAATTATTTAAACCCCTCCCCCCAATAAAAAACTAATTCACTGACATTGAATCAATTCTGATTCGTAGTGACCCCCATTGAGTTTCCAAGGCTATAAATCTTTACAGAAGAAGACTGCCTCCTGTTTCCCCTGTGGAGCGGCTGGTGGGTTTGAACCACTGACCTTTTGGTTAGCAGCCAAATGCCTTAGGCACTATATCACAAGAGCTCCCTAGTATGATATTAACATCTTTCATTTTACATGTAGAAAACTCATTCCATTCATTCCATACATTTCTTTATGTATTATACTATGTAACAAATATTATTCTAAGCATCTTATATGCATTGATTAATTAAATCCTCCCCAAACCCTTTGTGGTGGATATGTATTATGCATATTTTACAGAGGAAGAAATAGAATTCTGTACTTGATTCCAAATGGCTTGATTATCCTTCTTTCAAGCTCCCAATGAGATATAAGCAATACATTAGGATGAGGGTTGGCCATAGGTAGGAAGCCAACATATCAATAGCAGCAACCAGGAGGGCCCAGGAGTCTATTGAAAATAGACACCAAGTTACATCATACCCAAGAGCAAAGCACCAATATGTGCCTATACAAATTAACAATAACGAGCCTCTTACCATAACACTCAAATTCTTCTAGAAATTTAGGATAACACAAGATACAGAACCGATAAATGGGGTGTTTATGGATGTTATCCTTTCTTTTCCTTTCTTTTTTTTTTTTTAAAAAAAAGACCTTAGAAAACACTAAAAAAAAAAAGTCTTATACTTAATACATAACATGGCAAGATCATAAAATAAATAATAGAAAAAGTTTTCAGTTTCTTATATAATGGCAATAATCAGTTATGTGATAATATTAAAACAATTCATTCATATTAACATCAGCAATGTAATATACCTGGAATGTCTGTAATAAAAAGACACTCCTAGGAAGAAAGTTGTAAAGCTCCACCAAGAGATAGGAGTCCTGGTGGTGAAATGATTAAGCACTCGGCTGCTGCCTGAAAGGTGGGCAGTTTGAAGCCTCCAGCTGCTCCATGGGAGAAGGATGTGACAATCTGCTTTCATAAAGATTACAGACTTGAAAACTCTACGGGGCAGTTCTACTCTGTCCTACAAGGTTGCTATGAGTTGGAGTTGACTTGACGGCAGTGGGTTATCACTGTACATTAAATAAAAGGACAAGAAGGGTATGTAATTGACAGCACAGTGTGTCCACACCCAGACGGTGGAGAAATCCACAGTGGGAAATCAATTCCATTTCTTCATCAAACAAATTACATGGAAAAAATAAACAGAGAGGGGAAACATGTAGCTCAAGAGACCTAAAAGGCGTATTAGCCTGTCACGGTTTATGAAACTTACACGGATGCCAACAGAAAATCGTAAGAAGCCATTGTTAAACACATTAATGTGTGATACGATATGATTTGTTTGTTTTAAGAGACCTAATCTTTTACAAAGGAGCCCTGGTGGAGCAGTGATTAAGTGCTCAGTTGCTAACTGAAAGGTCAGCAGTTCGAACACACCAGCCTCTCTGCAGAGAAAAGACCTGGCAATCTGTTTCCATAAAGATTACAGCCTTGCGAACCCCATGGGTCAGTTTTACTCTGTCCTATAGAGTCAGTATCAGTTGGAATTAACTTGATGGCCCACAACACACACATGCACACACGCACACACACATGCACACACACACACAATCTTTTACATCAGAATTTCTCAACCTCAGTAGTATTGATGTTTAGGGCCAGATAACTCTTTGCTGTATGCATCGATCCTATAATCTCACTTCTAGAACTTGATCCTGAAAATATTAGAAAAGGAGCCAAAGACGTATGTACAGAGCTGTTCGTAGTAGGGTCATTTATAACACCAAAAATAGTGGGCATGTGTTGAGGGATTTGTATGCCTTTTGGAGGGGAATAGGAAGTAAATTCTGCACAACCATGTCATAGATGATTTTTACAAGCATGAAAATTCTAGTGGCATAATGTTGAATGAAAACACAAGCATTAAAAAAACACATAATATAATCTCAACTATGTAATATATACACACACATACACACTCACATACATACAGGAAAGAAATAACCCAAAATATATGAGTGATTATTTCTGCTACCTCAGGTAATTTTAAAAATATTTTATTTCTTACATTTTTCTAGATTTTCTTCAAAAAGCACTTGATCAGAAAAACAAGAAAGATCTATTTTAGAAATTGAAACAAGAACTAAAAATTCAAATAAAATTCATGCTGAAATCATTATTCTAAACAACAAAGAAATGCTACATTATCTTCCTTCATATGGCGAAAGCATGGGCATATATAATATCCTATGGAAATGTTTCATCAGAAACCTGGAAACAAAGTGCCCCATAGAGTTTCTAAGGCTGTAAATCTTTATGGAAGCAGACTGCCTCATCATTCTCCCATGGAGTGGCTTGTGGGTTTGAACCACTGAACTTTTGCTTCACAGTCGGTTGCTTTAACCACTGTGCTACCAATCTTTATGGAAGCAGACTGCCTCATCATTCTCCCATGGAGTGGCTTGGGGATTCAAACCACCGACCTTTGGGTTAGCAGCCAAGCTGCTTTAACCACTGTGCCACCAGAATTCCTTTTGGAGAAGATACATAAACCAAAAACCCACTGCTATCCAGTTGATTTTGATGCATAATAGTCTGAGATAACATGTAGAATAAGAAGTAAATGCTTCAAATCCTATTGCTGTCCATGTTACGCCACTGCACTGGTATTCTGTTTTGTTTCTGTTTGATTTCCTCGAATTCCAAGTACTAAAACTGGACTGTTGATTTTGTTTGCTTCTTTGCAGGTCTCCAGACAGTGGGGATATTCCGAGTTGGAAGCTCAAAAAAGAGAGTGAGACAAGTAAGTGAACAGTGAAGATTATACTGTATGTGTCATTTGACTTCCCACTGAATTACCTTGTACGGAGTTCAAGCTTATGCAGATCCTCTTCTGAATATGTTTTCTTTACCTTCCTACCTAACTGGGGGAAAACAAAGCAAAACTATTCCCCTCGAGTTGATTCTGAGTCCCAAGGGGTGAAAAGCAACAACTAAGAAACTCAGAAAGGTTGTCATCGACTTAGGACCAAATGCTTAAAAGGAAGGTGTCTGAATGTTTCCATTATGGCCAACCAAACAAAACTAATTTGTAATCATCTTATTGAGCCATAAAGTAGGAGATTCAGAGAATACCTGATCAGCAAGTGATAGTAAATAGAAAATAATTGTAAAGGACCATTATTGCTATAAAAAAAAAACGATATGCAAAATGCCATTAATGTTCTTATCATGCTATGTTTATAGCTTACCTTCTCAGAAATAAATAATTCTTAAGTTTCCCTAGAATTATTGTTCCCCAGTTCATTTCTCCTGTAGGGGTCTGCACCCACTGGTGACCTTGGCTATTGTGTCACATTCTTGCAACAAAAGTTTGATATTAGACCATCAGGAGTAGGATCCTATGATTGGGCAGGTATCTGCATTCATACATGCTTCAGAAAAGGCAAAGCATCCTTTAAGAAAAGAATTCATTTGTTGGCTGACAGAGAATTAAAATGTTATTTTCCCTCTATTGGTTCCAACAGAAGAAAATAAAAAACTCAAACACTCAATAATGAAGCCAAGACAAAATAATTTTTAGTTTGATAGAGCTGAAGAAATGCTGTTTGTTATTATTGAAACTACCTGAAATAAATATCTCCTTGTACCTTTTTTGTCAAGATAAAAGGGACTTTCAAAAGAAGTGTTTTCCATTTGTTCGGTTGGTTGGTTTTTGTTTAACACTCACACAAGAGACTGTTTAAGAACTGTCAACGTTTGACCATAGAACTCGCAGGAAGAAAGATAGAAGAGTGACATTTGTAGGTCTGTCACTTGTACAGAACTAGAGAGTATTTTCACAAACATTATCTCACTGACTCCACCCACCAGCCATAAGAGTAGCTTCTTTCATCTACTTCTTTTCAGGCTTAGAGAGCTTAAGAACCTTGTTTCAAGATCACATCCATTAACCAGTCCATAGAAAACTTCTCCTCTCTCCATTTTTCCTGCATGTGTGTGTGCTCAGAAAAGAAAGATGGTGGGTTTGGGTCATTGCAAGTCAGAGTGGTGCTGATGGCAGTGGTCTTCATTCTGCATACCTGATGCATGCTGAGGGCATGTTATCTGAAGTCAGTCAACCCTTCAAGGCAGTGGTGAGTAGTCTTCTCAGGAGGAGAGGTTGCAAGATCAACAATGATTTATCAGTTATATCCACCAAGCAGAGAATCTTTGCACAGAGAGTGAAGAAGAAATATTTAAGGATAGATGATCCAATCAACATAATTAACGGTCAGTTCAATTTGAAGTACAAAATATACTGTCATTGGCCATTCTATCTTGTTATATTGCTTCTTAACAGCATACACGTGCTCTTCAGAACATTTGTCACTGTATTAAGAACTAGTCATTTGTGGGATTACCTGCTAATCACCTATCTCTCTACCAGCCTGGGAGCTGGAAGAAGGGAGATACTTTACCTTTTCATTTGCCACCATATTTCTAGGGTTCATAAAAGGGCTCATAGGAAGTGTGCAATAAGTCTTTGTAAAATGAATGAATAAATGAGGGACTGAGCTAATGAATTCTTACTAATAGAGTAGGATGATGAACGCATGTAATTCTACAGCAGAGAATACATGAACTTCAACATCCATGAAGTTGAATTGTCAGGGATGAAAGTAGGATGGGGAAGTATTAATCCCTTCTTGCTATTGTAGGTTCCTGCTGCTATAGATGCTAATAGCCCTAGTATAATTATTACAGCAAAGAATCCTTCTGGGAATTGTTAATAAGGCTACTTTGACAAATCTAAGACCACTTTTATTTCATGATTGTCATCTTTCAAGCGTTAGTCATGATGGCTTATCAGGGTTTTGAGTTTCATTGTCTGAAGAAAAAGCTTGTTGCTACCTTGTCAAGTACCTCTGTAGAATTTCAAACTTCCAACATGGCAGGATTGCTGACATGCAGAAAGGCTGTGTGATGAATGACTCCTTCCCACGTTTAGAGTTGGCCTAAGCTCTCCTCCACCCCGTAGCTGTTCCTCTCAACCTTCTGGTTGTCGTTATCGAGCCCTTCTGCTTGCATCAGCAGCAGTCAACCCACAGATAGTTTTACTTAATAATGCATTTAAAAAATTATATACTATATTTATGGCTGGGTTCCACAGACTCTGCAGATCAAGGCGACATGTTGTTTGCTTCTTTTCTTTGGGGTCTGCTCGAATTTAACACCGGATGCTGCATGCCAAAGCACTTCTTTTGCTGGGAACTGAATGTTGAGGTATGGTGTTATGTGACCACCACCCAAACCATTCTTTTCCAGTTACGGGAGGAATTTGACCGTGGGATTGATGTCTCTCTGGAAGAGGAGCACAGCGTCCATGATGTGGCTGCCTTGTTGAAGGAGTTCCTGAGGGACATGCCGGACCCCCTTCTCACCCGGGAGCTGTACACGGCCTTCATCAACACTCTCTGTACGTAAGGCAGCCCTTTGCTGGAAAGTACCCCTGGAATTCCAGCCTGTCCAACTCATTCATCAAAGCCTTGTGCATGTTTGCCCCAATAATTTTTTTGTCTTTATTTATTGGTCTCCAATGAGCGGGCTATTTCAGGAATTTTCTGGAATTTACCCTAGGGAGAATTAGCAAGAAGAAAGTTGCCATAAAAGAAATGAAAATAGCCAAGAAGAATTTGGGATGCTTTCAAATGACCTCTAAGACTGTAGAAAGTGCTATATAAATTGATGCTTTGGAGTACTGGTAAGAGTTCGCATTAAGTCTGTCCCTAAAAATAAGTTTGCATTTCTGGTACAAAAAAAAGAGAGAGTCGCAGAAACCCAGAGAGGGGTGGACAGGGAAGCCCAATGGTATATCCCATGCCAGGACTTTAAATATGGCTGCTCTGGGCTGTAGATACAGATGCCACAGAGGAGAAGCAGAGGTGATGGGGAGGAGGGATAGACTCTGGGAAGCCTCCATTAATACAGGACCACGATAGAGAGAAAGCCCAGAATCTTCACCAATTCTCAGTCATTGTTATTTTTACCAACAATGAACGATTGAAATCCATAAAGTAAGTGATGAGTTATGTCCGGAAAAGGAGGGAGAAGCAAGTAAGGAAAATTAAGTGACCTTTCCAACTTGGATCATCATGATTTCTCTACTTGTTCCATTTCCCCAGGTCTAATCCATCTTTATATCCTTCAGAGAGCTGTACTGCAACCTTGCTAACCCAATGGGAAAGTGGATGAATGAATGGAATACGACTTGAGTGGTATATGCACCCTGACTTACAGTGCCTCTTTTTGCCTTGTTTAGTGTTGGAGCCAGAGGAACAGTTGGGCACCCTACAACTCCTCATCTACCTTCTACCTCCCTGCAACTGCGACACTCTCCACCGGCTCCTGCAGTTCCTCTCCATCGTGGCCAAGCACGCTGATGACAACATCAGCAAAGACGGGCAAGAGGTATGCCCCCCTTCACTGCTGGAGATGCTGTTACTCTTTTCCTTACTTTCAAAGGATGAGCAACAAATATGGTCAAACTGGGATGAAATGACATCCCCTCCCCTGACTTCTTTGACTGTGTAGGAAGAGAACTACTGCTGGGCTTTGTCTGGAGGGACAGCTCCTCAGAGCACATGGGCCGCTCACCTCCTTATAGGTTCTCAAGGATGCTTCCCAATGAGGCTGTCACTGATGCTCTACTCAAGCCCCTGAATTTCCATTTGTGTGAGGAAGACAAGCAAAGAGTTTCAGAGGTACTTGCAATCAGGAGAATGTAGAGTAATGGGTGTGGGGACATTGTTGTCCTTGCAACTCATTTGAAGTCCAAATATGATGTCACCTCTTCATTCTTTCAGTTTATGGAGTTCCCATGTGCCCTAGTAGCTAGAATTCCAGTGTCTCTCTTGAGAGGGGTCCTTTCTCTCCTTCAACCCTCCCCTCAATGTAGGGACTGGCTCTATCCAGTGGGGGATCAAACCTGCTTCCAGAATCAGTTGGAGAGGGACCTAGGAGGTCTGCTAAAGTGATCATTGCCATGGTGTCTCAGTGCAACATGGTGTCACCTGGGGAAGACGATCTGCACAGTCCCATAGACTCTTTAGTGATATGCTGGTGTGACTCCATCTGAGGACTTGGGCTCTAGCTCCCTTTGGCCTGACTAACATGCTCCAAGGCGTTTTTCGATTTCACCCTTATGCTAGCCTAATTTTAAGTGACTTACTACCATGCTACCTATTTCATTGTTACCTTAACAGGAAACCAGCTTTCTTCTTTGAAACCAGGCAATCTTACTTCCCCCTGACCTTGGATTCCCCAGAAACATCAGGCCCTTCAATATGCTAGCATGCTTTATAAATCAACAAGAAGCCAGAGGCTTCCCAAATGTACTTAACCACTGAAATTTTTGTTATAAATCAAATCCTTAATCCTTGTTAAGCAGAACTCAGGTGTATTGTAGGTTCAACTTCATGAGATACTCAAATCTTTTTCCCAAAGAACATTGTTGTTGTTGTTATGTGCCATCAAGTTGGACCCAACTCATAGCAACTCCTCCTTGGGTTTCCGAGGCAGTATCACTACAGAAGTAGAAGAACATAGTCATATGTATTTTTTTTTCCAATTTAATACAGAAAGACAATTCCATATTTCTTATCCTTATCCTCCATGTTGGAGAGAGAATAGAATTCCCCTGAATTTGCCATTTATCACTCGAGTAGTTGTAATTCCTGAGACCTCTCCTGGCTGCAGACTTAATACTATGGGCCTGAAGCATTCCTTCAGCACACCCAGCTCGGTGATGGCTGTAGTGTAATTCTCATAATTGCTAAGTAGTTCTATCTCCTGTCTGGGTGTCAAGGTAGTATGCTGGAACATGAGCTGCTATTTATGTATCTCCTGCCATGTCCCAGCATCATGCTAGTGGCTTTCCATATACCATGTTGTCACTGTTCGTCCTAACAGGTAAGAGAGATCTCGTTGTCCCTATGTATTGCAGATAGAAACTGAAGGCCTAAAGGCTTGAGTGACTTATCCAGTGTCCCGCTGGGAGACTCCACTTCCGCTTGCATATATGTGCATGTTATAGGTCAATGGGTGATGCCATGTGCCCCAGTCACTATAGATTTACATAGCTATTAGAACAACATCCCAGCCAATGGCAGTAAAATGTCTTGGGGAAGGGGCTTTTTTTTTTTTTTTTTTTCCAATTCACACAGTCATCGTATTGGCTTGTGGTGGGGTCAATCCCATGACTAAAAAACTCTCAGCTTTGCCTCCAATCCAAGCCAGCCTAACTAACCAAGAACATACATATAGAATACGATTTAGACCTGTACTGGAGGCCTACCTCTGGTTTTCTTAGCTGGATCCTTCCCTGTGGTAGGGCTGTCCTGTGCATTGTAGGATGTTTAGCAGCATTCTAGGCCTTTTCCCACTAGACTGTAGTCCTCCCTCCCCAGTGTGACAACCAAAAATGTCTCCAGACCTGGCCACATGTCCCCTGGAAACAAAATCACTCCATGTTGAAAGCACTTAGGAGCTCTCTAAATCACTAGCCATGTGTTTTGGCACGAATCCATTGGCCTTCCTAAACCTGGTTTTCTTACTTGCACCTTGGAAATCACAGTTTCTGAGATGTCACTGCATGGTGGTTGAGAAGACTGGTTTATCCTAAGGAATCTGAAAACCTCCTGTTACCAGCAAAGTTGTACAAGACTCCAAGGGGTTGCAAAGGTTTCTAGACAATCTGGACCTAAGCCTTGTATCCAAATGAAGAAGTAATAATCAAACACTGTAGCAAGGGTGAGAATTACATTGCAAAATGTGGTCAAGAAAGTGATTTTCAACTTTTTCTCTTCTCTATTTGTTAGTTTGTGTTCAATACTATCTCTTTGTTGGGTAGTTGCTTTATGGACTGAAACATGGAATACTGCTGAACCAGAGCTTGGAGAAGCTTGAGGCTCACACAGACTCTGCCAACACCTTGCTACATGGTCTTGTCATTATAAAAGGGCAAAAGAGGAGAGACAACAGAGGTTGGCGGGAGTGGGCTTGGTTTTTCATCTGTAAAATGTACATAAAATCAAACCCAAACCAAACCTGTTGCCGTCAAGTCAATTCTGATGCAGGGCAACCCCACATGTAAAGAGTAGAACTGCTCCATAGTGTTCTTTGGCTGTGATCTGTATGGAAACAGATCACCAGGCCTTTCTTCCCTGGCACTGTTGGATTGGTTGGAATCTCCAGCCTTTAGGTTAGTAATCAAATGCATATGATTTGAGCCACTCAGGGACCTAAATGAACCAAATATTTCCTTTCTAATAGGTGTTGGTTAGTTTTCAAATAAAGATGTTTCAGAGGAGGGCATGAGAAAAACTGTTCACTAGTCCATCAGTGCTTTTTTTGGAAAACAAAAATCTAGTGGTCTTTTATTGAGTTGTGGTGTTTTGCTCTGTTTTGTTTGTTTTATTTTATTCTGTTTTGTTTAGTTTGCTATTTGCTTTGCTCCTTAGGGGAAGGAGATATTCCCAACTGTAAGAAAGATTTTATTTCTTCTAGAAAGAATATTACAGGGATAAAATTGAAACAGCCTTGAGGAGTGTCTTTTCAGGAAGTCCAAGAACCCCCTGGCATTGCATGGAAAATGTGAAAATGCACTTTTCTGATGAGAGAATCCATAGCTTTCATTCCTTTCTTAAGTAGCCTATGAGGTGAACAAGAACTTACAGACCCTCAACAGAGAGTATGGTTACTGATCTTTGGGGAGGAAGATGCCACTAGGAAATGGAAGGTTGGCTTTGGGACTTTAGCATAAGAGTGAGGAGAGTGCTTGAGAGCAGAATTCAAGGGGCCTCCAAAAATACTCGGTCTTCATAGATCTATCTGCATTCATTTTGATTTTTCAGTATTTAGCATTCCAATATGATTTAGCTTGATGACTGAGTCTTTTGGTGCCCCCTTAAACTTTGCAACTAAGATGAAGGCCTGTGTCCCTGCCCTGCTTTAAAGCCAGTGTTCCCATTGCCCACGCTGTGACTGGGTCTGCCAAGGAACAGGGTGCGGCCACCTGCTACCCATCTCTGCCACCTCCCAGCTGTCAGCTCTGGGTGTCACTACCCTCCTCCAAAAAAATAAGGACAAGAACAGCAGTGTTGCAGAAGCTTCTAAGGACAAAGAGGTGGAATAGCCTGTGGAAAGCCCCCAGCCTGGTGTGACAATCCCTGTGAGGCTTCTCGTCAATGTGAGCTCTTCCCCTTAGGCTCAGAAATGAGCTCGGAGGCTTAGTCCATGAAGAACAAACTTGTCCTTGAATTTGCTGGCTAATTAAATAATAGCCCATCATCAAGTGCACTTGTACTTCCTAGACATAGCTACGTGTGTGTGTATATTCGTATTTTATATTTCTGTTTTGTCTATTTCTGTATTTGTATATTTATATCACATGTATTCATGTTTATATAGTATTTGTATTTTATATGTTACACATGCGTATATAAGAAAACATGGCAGTTGAGTTGACTTTGACTCATGGTGCCCCCATTGGTATCAGTAGAACCGCACTCTATAGGGTTTTCATGGGCTATAATCTTATGGCAGTAGATTGCCAGGCCTTTCTTCAGCAGTGCCACTGGGTGGATTCAAACCACCAACCTCTCGGTCAGTAGCTGAGCACCACCCAGGACCTCTACATGTGTATACATGTCTGACTCGCAGCAACCCTCTGGGACAGAGTAGAACTGCCCCATTGGCTTTCCAAGGCAGAAATCTTTACCAATGCAGACTGCCTCATCTTTCTCCTGTGGAGCTGCTTGTGGGTTTGAACAGCTGACCTTTCAGTTAGCAGCCAAGTACTTAACCACTGCACCACCAGGCCTTCTTGTATATGCATATTCATATTTATATACATGTATATATACGATTATACACAGGTCAATATGGAGAGCAAGGGTCAAAGTCTGCCTTCCAGTTTAAAAAGAAAAACAAATAAAACATTAACAACGTGCAGCAAGGAATGGCTTGGTCCACAGCTGCAACTGATGTGATTTTACAGACGGATTGCGTTACATTCCCAAAATAGCAACAGGAGAAGGACAGAGAGGAAACAGCTCGATCATCCTTCTGCTAAACACAGTTTCACAAGAAAACAAAATCTTTTATTTGTTAATGTTAAAAAAGGAGAGAGGGAGAACCCTAATCCTATTTTGGGGGTAGGGAAGGATCCCCAATGCCTCTTAGTTCTAAGGGGAAGAATTTGAAAGTTGTACATATTTGATTTTATCCTTAGTCATGAATTTCCAGCAAAAGTAATGAAAAACTGTTGTGTTTCTTCCATGAAATAAAAAATAAGCCATCATACAGAAAGGGTGCACTGCTTAAAACTCCCGGTGTTCAGCATGGGACACAATTTCATTTAGCTACCAACTGCCTTCTGAAAATCATGGAACCCAAGGTCCATGCTGGGGTTCCAGGGAGAAGACTGCCAACTCTGGGCTCCTCGGGTCACGGCACGACTCGGGAGGCCTGTTCTTGACTGTCACTTGGAACTCTTGAATTCTGTGCTGTGCACCTATCAAACCAAAACCAAACCCACTGCTATTGAGTCAATTCGAACTCATAGCACCACTAGAGGACAGAATAGATCTGCCCCATGGGGTTTCCAAGGCTGTAAATCTTTATGGAAGTAGACTGCCTCATCTTCCTTCCTTGGAGCAGCTGGTGGGTTCGAATCACCTAGTGTTTGGTTAGCAGCCGAATGCTTTAACCACTGCACCTCCAGGTTTCCTTTGTGCATGTTTTTCAAATCCATGCAGATTGGCCCAGGCAAAGTCTGCCCAGCAAGCAGCCACTTCCATACTTATGTGCCTGGGATTTTAACTAATGTTGACAATGAAATAAGAATGCACCTCGACCAATGGTTCTCATGGGAGAAAGGTGGCAGTTTGCTTCTGTAAAGATGACAGCCTTGGAAACTCTGTAGAACATTTCTACTCTATCCTACAAGGTCACTGTGAGTCAGGATTGACTCAATGGCAACAGGTTTGGTTTTCTGTTTTTTTTTTTTTTTTTCTACAGGGCATTTTGTCCCCCAGGGGACACTTGGCAATGTCTGGAGACATTCTTGCTTGTCAGAACTGGAGTTGGAGAGGGATACTCCTGGTATCTAGTGGGTAGAGGGCAGGGATGCTGCTAACCATCCTACAACACATTGGACAGCTCCCACCCCCCACCACCACTGAGCAGGATCTGTCCCCAAGAAACCCTGGCTTAGAAAAATGTATCCAAATAATCTCTCCCATCTTAAAACTGAATAGATAAATGGATGGATGGATGGATAGATATAGATAGATAAAGTAAGTAGGTAAAAAGAATCCCAAACTTTTGAAACCCTCGTATTCCTTGTTATGACAATTCCACATGTAGAGATTGCTCCTACAATAGTGCTCAGCCATGTTCACAAAATGTCTTTGTGAGGATATTCTTTGTGCCATTGTTTATGATGACAGAATATTGAAAGTAATGTAAATGCCCATCAGTTGGTTGTGGTTCAGCAAATCATATTGTAATCTACACAATGCTAGGGACCAACAAGGGTGACACTAGAGGGTTTGTTGAAGTAGAAAGAGGACTGCAACATATTATTAAGAAACAATAAGCAGGTTACAGATAATATATAAACTATGATCCCAGTTTTCAAAAAGAGAATAATAATATAGATTTAAAAAGCAAACAAACTCACTGTCGTCAAGTCACTCTGACTCATAGCAATCCCTCCTTGGGTTTCCGAGGCGGTATCACTATGGAAGTATATTGCCCAGTCTTCCTTCCGAAGAGTGGCTGGTGGGTTTGAACCGCCAGCCTTCTGGTCAGCAGTCAAACACCTAAGGCACTATGCCACCAGAGCTCGCCTGACATGTGTGTGTGTGTGTGTGTGTGTATACACACACACACACACATAGAGAAGAATATGAACAGCTGGTTCTTGGGAGTGGTGGGATCATGGGCACTTTGATTTCTTTACGCTTACCTGTACTTGCTAATTTTTAATATATTGAATGTAAGTAATATTTTTATACTTCAGGTCAAACAATATTCCCTTTTTCTCTCTGTACTACCTCTTAGCTCCTGCCGTCTTTCTTCCTCCTTCCCCGTCAAGCTTTTTGGAAAAAATATGTCCATTCACTGTTTGCACTTCTGCACCTGTTTCTACTTTGCCTCTGGAATGGCTCTTAGTTAGAAGCATCAGATAATGCAATCTTTATGATGGGAACAGTGTGGTCCTTGCTGGAAAACATAAAATGGAAAGGAAAAAATGTTCCATTGCTGAATGGATCCATCTTGCATTTTGTAAAGCCAGAATACCCACAGGCTTGTGTTCTCCCCTCCCATAGGTCACTGGGAACAAAATGACATCTCTGAACTTGGCCACCATATTTGGACCCAACCTGCTGCACAAGCAGAAGTCATCAGACAAAGAGTTCTCGGTCCAGAGCTCGGCTCGTGCTGAGGACAGCACTGCCATCATCGCTGTGGTGCAGAAAATGATAGAAAATTACGAAGCCCTGTTCATGGTAGGTGGCCCTTCTTAGGGGTGACACCGTGGTGAATTACCTTTCTGTTGCTTTGTGGCTGCATAGTGAAACTCGAGTGCAATCTCCATCTGGTCTGCGATGCTGGTCATTTGATTCTTCAGTTTCATGGGAAGCTAGGCAATTTCAGTGGGAATCGAAACTTCCAGAACATATGATTTCACTGTATGTTGTGGGACTCTGTGACTTCACTTTTTAAACAAGCATATCCAAAATGATAAATTTCACTTTATTGTCCCCTAAACAATGAGCACTCTTTGGAATCATTTAATTATTCATGTAACAGTGTCCATGCTGAAAAGGGTGTGGAAACTCTTTCTTTTGGGATTCTAAGTGTGGCCCTCATGTATTCTTGTAACCATCTTGTGGTGGCAAGTTCTCCGAGAACAATCTTGACATCTTACCTCCTGCATGAAACTTTGCTTGTCCTTCACCTATCCTTCCCGTGTCATTTATGGGAAATGTCACTTCTCTCTACCTTGAACCCCATTACTTTTTTTCACAGTGTTTATCTTACTCAACTTTGTGTTACGGTCATTGATGACTAATTCCTTTAGTAGATTATAAACTCGTTTAAAACAAGAGCTGTGCCCTTGTTATCTCCTCTCTGTATCCTCTGTACACTTTTGGAAGGCCCTCCATCTGGCAGTCATTCAATAAATATTTTTTGATTTGTATTGAATTACCAGTTCCTGTTTTCCTTCATAAAACTGCATCGCTTGCTCCAACTTCCCTTGAATCATTAGAACAAATGCCAACTCTCTTCTCTATCTGTTCACCACTCAGATTGCATGTTGAAATTTATGGAAAGTTCCCCAGATTCCTTCTCCCATTTCTCTTGTCAGTTTGCAAACCTTCATCATCAATCCTACCTGCTCCACTCCAGGGCCACTCGAGCCCTGTGTGACATCAGAGTCCGCTACTTTCCCATTTTCCATCCCCTCAGTGTTCTTTCTGTATTTATCAAGCACCTTGCACTAAATTTATTCACATGCAATTAGCTTTTTGTAAACTTGAGGGCCACTGGTTCAGAATCCTTGCTCTCTGTGTCTGACTTATGTGATCATGAACAAGTAATTCCACATTCAGTATTATCAATTTCAGCTGTGAAATGGGGGAAATAAAAAGATGGTGCTTGCCAGAGTCTGTATTTAGTGTATTAATTAGGCAATGAGAGCCATCCCAAATCTCAGTGTTTCAACATAAGGCACACAGATATCTCACTGGTGCAATGTTTCATCAGATGTTTGGTGGACAGCCTTCCAGGTAGGGATTTAGGGACCCTGGCTCCTTACACCTTGAGGCTCTGCCATCTCCTAGGATTTTATGGGCCAAACCTAGAAGGAGTATCCCTCACATCTGGTCAAATCCCATTGTCCAGAGCTCACTGAGAATCCACAGCTAATGGCAAGGGAGGCTGGGAAATGTGTTCTGGCTGGGTGCCAGGGGGAAGAGAAAATCGATTTACCACAGTGACAAGTTCATTGAGGTAGAGGGACCATGTTTCACTCTTCTTTGTGTCTCTGAAGCACTCTCTCTGTGTTGCACACAATATGCTCTCAAAAATGGTGCATGGCATCATTGACGCTATATAAATTTCACACTTCAGCCAAAATCTTCATAATTAATTACATATTGGGATGAATCAACTATCTGAACTTTTCAACATTTTCCTCAAGTTTTAAGTCACGTATCCTCTTGCCAAGTAGTCTTGGCATTATTTCCTGCTCTCTGGCTTTTTGTTCCAACAAAATAAAATAAATATGTCTCTTCAATGCTCATTCTGTTCTCTAAGTTCTGTAGTCTGAGCAAAGGTCTCCTGCGTATCTGTCCTTTCGCAAACCAGCAGACATTCCTTTTCCTCTCAGATACTGACAGAGCACTTCCTGGTCTTCTGGAAAGGACAGCTGCCGCCATTTTGACTGTGGCATTCCTTTTCTTCCCATTCCCCACCTCCTGGGGCCCTAAGGATAGCAGTTGTTGCTGTGAGCTGTTGTCAGGTCAGCTCCAACTCCGGGTGACCCCATGTACAATGGAGCAAAACTCTGCCCAGCTCGGCCCCATCCTCATGATTGGTTGTGAATTGTACCATTGTGATTCGTAGGGTTTTCAATGGCTGATGTTTGGAAGTAGACCACCAAGACATTCTTCCTAGTGTGTCTCAATCTGGAAGCTCTGTTGAGTTAACATTCATGTCTCCTCTGACAGGCTGGCAAATAACAAGCAGCAGTATGCCGACTTTTCCAACGTTTTCCAAATCTGATGTTGGTTTGCTGTTCTCTGTTGGGATTGATGTTGAGAGCTCCTGTTTGTGTCCCCCATTTGTGGTCTTCACTTTTCAACTCAGCCTTTCCTGGCCACCTTCTCTAAAATCGCAAGCCTCATCCACCCCCACTCTCTCTATCCCCTCCCCTACTGTGTTTCTTCATTATCCTTCATCACTAAGGTAGGGCTTCCCACTAGGGACTCCCCACTAGGGTCCTGCTAATGCCTCCCCACTGGAATGCAAAGTCTGGGATGAATTTGTATCTGCTTCCATCTGTTTTCTTGACTACATTGAGCCTGTGTCCGGCACACGGTGGGAGCACAGTAAATAGTATTTGAATTCATGAATGACTCCATGGCAGTTCTATTTTATATGATTTCTGTGTTACCAATTCTTACTCCTTAACCCACTACTCTCAAGTGGATTCGAACTCATGGAGATCCTATAGGACAGAGTAGAACTGCTCCATAGAGTTTCCAAGGCTGTCATGTTTATGGAAGGGGACTGCCTGCCCCATCTTTCTCCCATACAGTGGCTGGTGAGTTTGAGCTGCAGTCCATCATTTCACCACTTGCAGCACCAGGACTCCTTCTTACTCCTTGAACATTTGAAAAGGGTTGGACGTGGAGGGATTCAGAGTAACTTTTTCAGAGTAGGTTGGTCTTTAACAGGAGCATGCTTACTCTCCTTGTGCTGATTATAGGAATTGTAAATTGAGAAAAAGGACAGTAACGTGGATGGAGAGATGAGTCAAAGATTCCAAGCCTGGAGCAGTAGAAAGAACACTGGCTCTGGAACCAGAACACTTTGTCATAATCCTCTTTCCGCTAGCACTTGCTGCTTAGATTTCAAAGGACTGGGTTAGAATGAGTGATGTCCACGAGCACTTCTAGGTTAGAAACTGCATGATTCTCTGCCCTAGTACTCTTTTATTCCAGAAACAGAACTTTTAGCTTCTCTTGGCATATTTGGCATTTCAAAATCAACTTAGTTCTACCAAGGCTGATGGTTGGTTGGCAAAAGTTTGCCTGTGTGGACGGACGAACATTTCATCATGTATATAGTTAGTGTGGGTTTTGATTTTTTGTTGTTTCTTTCTTTCTTTTTTCTTTAAAGAAGCTTCCAGAATTATGACAATATTTTCAAACAAGGAAGAATGAAACTAGAAAGGATCTGTTGGTTAAAAGTAGTTAGTAATTGCAAAACTTTACGGTCCTTTGAGGGATTCGTGAGCTTCGAAGCATCACTGTGCTAGAAAAGCTGATTGTGAACTTGTCCTTGAAGGCAGAATGTCCCCTGGAAGCAGTGACTGGACAGAAGAATCGATTAAGAGAATGTAGTAACCCATGGAATTTGGTTCTCACTATTTTAATGTCCGTTTTCTGATACTGAGAAAGCCTCTCCCAAGTGCCAATACCTGAGTTAGTGGGAAAAGGCCTGGCTTTGGGTCATAATCCAGAAGAGACGTCTGGATTCAGGGGCTGACACCGGTTTGAGAGTCTGGCTAGGATATAGTTGTTTGTGTTGATTGGTTGTTTTTCAGATACTGGTTTGACAGTGCTAGAGCTGGGAATATGTCCTGATGACAGCCATCATGACCCTCTGCCACAGAACCCAAGCACGAAGTGATCAGAGTGGTTTGGAGCTCTGGTAGCACAGTGCCTAAGGCATCTGACTGCTAACTAGAAGGTTGGTGGTTCAAATCCCCCAGCCACTCCACAGAAGCAAGAGTGGGCAATCTACTTCCATAAAGATGTACCATGTCAGAAACCCAATGGAGGTCACTATGAGTTGGAATCAACTTGAAGGCTGTGGGTTTGGTGTTTTTTGAACTCATTATAGAATCTACTTATTTAGTATGCTTATTGAAACCTGACAGGATGCAAACATGATTAGGGCAGGGATTTTTGTTTGTTTTATTCACTGAAATATCTGACGAGGCTAGAACAGGCCTCGTTAGGTGGTGGGGATTCAGTAATTATCTGTTGAATAAATTTTGCAACCATTTATTACTGGGAAAAAATGTGGGTTTTGTTTCTGTTCGGCTGGTTGATTGACTTTGGTCCAGTGCCTTAAATTTCCTTACTTTTAAATCATGCTCCTCCAATTCTGCTATCAACAAGCAATTATAAGCTGCACAATGTAAAGTGACAGTTTGCAGAAACATGAGAAATAAAACGTCAGAAGCAAGCAAATACACACACGGTCTCTGTTATCTCAAGCAGAAAGCATTCACCTACTCAATCATTGACATAACTAATTGTTCTGGAAGTTGTTCATTCTGTACCTGCTATTGGTACTCCCAGAAAAATACTCATCATTGCTTTTGGAGTTAATATGAGCTTCAAAGCAGGAGAAAACCATCAAGTCAAGCTAAGGGCCAGCATGAGGTGATTCCTACTAGGGCTTCTTTTTTGGGAGGGTAGGGAGGAGGAGAAGGCACAGCCTTGAGGGCTGATGACAAGTCTGGACTGCAGTGGCAGGCGAGAGACGTGGGAAAACCAGTGTGTTCTTGTTGGGTTGTCAGCCTGAGATGGGGACCAGCACAGTGCACGTGGGAAATTCAACTGAGAACAACTGGGAGCAAGGGTCAGAGGCCTGGATGAGGATTCCAAGCTAGGAAGCCAAGCTTTACTTGGTGTTGTCTTCATTCTCTGATGCAAATCCCATTTTCTTAAAATCTCTTTTGCATGCCAAGTCAGTGGAGACAAGCACG